TGTGGTGGCCGGGAGCGGCCACTGCACTCCAGTCTGGGCGACAGAGTGAGACTCCACTCAAAAAAAAAAAAAAAAAGCTGAGGGTGTAAGAAGGTGTGCCCACACATGATCAACCGTCAAGGGAGAGGTCCTTGGTCACATGGACACAGCAGAGCAGCTGGGAGCTTTGGCTTTGGGGTCAGTCCTGTCTTCAAGGCTGGTGTCCACTGCATATTAGTCATGTGACTGGCTACTTAGCCTTGTAAGCCTATTCCCTCAAGGACCTATCTCTTAGGTTGTTGTAAGAATTCGAGTCCTTAAGCCGGGCTCAGTGGCTCAGCATGTAATCCCGTGACTTTGGGAGGCTGAGGTGAGTGGATTGCCTGAGCCCGCGGGTTCGAGACCTGCCTGGGCAGCGAGACCTCATCTCTACAATAAATAAAAAAATCAGCCAGGCGTGGTAGCACATGCCTGTAACTCCACCTACTTGGAAGGCTGAGGTGGAAGGATCGCTGGAGCACAGCAGGTCAAGGCTGCGGTGGACGGGAGCGGCCACTGCACTCCAGTCTGGGTGACAGAGTGAGACTCCAACTCAAAAAAAAAAAAAAAAGAATTCGAGTCCTTGGTGCCACATCTGGGACAGAGCATGTTTTCCATAAGTAGTAAATGCTACTGACAGTGTTATTGTCATTATCACTTAAGTTGCTTGGCTGTGCTAGTGACTGGAAGTGGTGTGGTTTTCGGTATCTTCAGGAGGCTGAGGAAGCCAGCTCTGCAGATGAAGTCTTGTGACCGCACTGAGAACTAGACCTCCTGTCAGTGACCCACAGGGAGGCACACCCCCAAAGGAAGTGGGGAAGAGAGCCGTATGCCAGGCCCACAGATAGGAAGGGCAACAGGGAGACGGTCATAGACAGGGGCTATGAGGATCCCTGGAACACTCACCTGAGTAGTAAAACTGTATCTGGAAGGCAAAAAGGAAATCTGAAAAAGACATCAAGCAGTCCATGGCATCATCCACGAGCACGATCCTGCCGGGGAAGAGAGAATGTGTGTGTGCGTCGGGGGGGGGGGCATGTGTACCAGCAAGGGACTGTCCATGAGCTCCCAGTCTCCTTCTCCATCAACTGGACGCTGTCACTAAACAGAGCAGATCAAATTGTAACAAGAGTGGGCTCTCGGTTCAGACTCAGTGGCACCAGCAGGCAAGGAGCAACAACGAGAGGGTGCAGCTGTCATGCAGCCAAGGCTTTTTTCATATACTTAAGTGGTAAATCCTAGCCGGGTTTGGTGGCTCAGCCTGTAATCCCGCGCCTTTGGGAGGCTGAGGTGAGAGGATTGCCTGAGCCCGCAGGTTCGAGACCCGCCTGGGCAAGTTGGCGGGACCTCATCTCTACAATAAATCAAAATGAGCCGGACGTGGTAGCGCGCGCCTGTAGTTCCAGCTACTTGACTGAGAAGGTTGAGGCGGAAGGATCGCCGGAGCCCAGCAGGTCGAGGCTGCGGTGGCCGGGAGCAGCCACTGCACTCCAGTCTGGGTGACAGAGTGAGACTCCAACTAAAAAAAACCAACAAAACTAAACAACAACAACAACAAAGTGGTAAATCCTTTCATTCTGCAGTGAGGACCGTTTAGTTCAGAATAAATACAGCTGATCAGAAAAGGCAAAAAACAGCCAACGGGTTAAAGGAGCCTTGGCATGTGCTGCTGAGGTGTAATCAGCCACTTTCTGGCTAGAACAGTCAGAGGCGCGTCCACCCTGGGACGCAGATGGCAGACAAGGGGAGAGGGCAGAGATCTCCCGGGGATGCCGCACTTGAGAGGGCCGAGAACACACCCACCTTGGGATGCTGCGGCGGCCACTGTTCCTCCCTACTGTCCGTGCACACAAGTTAACTGCCTCCTGGCTTTTCCTGTCTTTAGTCCCTCCCACTGGGCACCCACCTCACAGGGAGAAAAACATCTGACTTGTAAAGGAATCAGACCATGGCCATGTCCATGCTCAGAGGGGACGAGAAGGAAGAGAAGGAAACACGCACTTGCTGGGCTCCATCTGTGTGCCAGGCAGGGCGCCACAGGCAGGGCGCCAGGCCATGGGCTGGAGTGAGGCTAGCCGCAGTCTGTTTCTGGCTGGGGCCCTCTGGCTTTATCTTTCCTGGTGTCCTTTAGATTGTGATTTTGCCCTCTCACGCATCTTTCGAAATCTCCCTCCACTTCCCTGCGTCAGCGGTTCCACAGACTGGCAGCGGGATCAGCCTCAGCCTTGCTCACCCCCTGGAAAGGAGCTTTATAGAAAATACAGCGTGAGTGATGCTCCTGCCCGAGACTTGTGCAAGGCAGCTGGCCCTGCAGACCTCCCTGAAGGGTCCTATCTAGTCCTTAATTGTAATAATGATAACAATAGAAACAGACACCAGCCAGATACAGTGGCTCATGCCTGGAATCCCAGTGCTTTAGGAGGCTGAGGCAGGCACATTGCTTGAGCCTAGGAGTTCAAGACTGGCTTGGGTGACACAGTGAGACCCTGTCTCTACAAAAAAAATTTTTTTAATTAGCTGGGTGTCATGATCTCAGCTACTCAGGAAGTCAAGGTGATAGGACTGCTTGAGCCCAGGAGGTTGAGGCTGTGGTGAGCCATAACTGCACCACTGCACTCTAGCCTGGGCAACAGAGTGAGACCCCTACCCTAAAAAAAACCCACACAAGAAACAGGCACCGTTTCCTGAGTACCCTACCTCATGGCAGGCTCTGTAGAAGATATTTAACTACATTAATTAAATTTTATACCACAATAATACTACTAGGCAGGTCTTGTTATTTACATCGTATTTTATTTATTTGAAACAAGGTCTCATTCCATCACACAGGCTGGAATGCAGTGGCACAATGCCAGCTTACTGCAGCCTCGACCTCGTAGGTTCAGGCGATCTTTCTACCTCAGCCTCTGGAGTAGCTGAGACTACAGGCACATGCCACCATGCCCAGCTAATTTCTGTATTTTTTGTAGAGCCTCACTATGTTGCCCAGACTGGTCTCAAACTCCTGGCTCAAGCCATCTTCTTAGCCCGGCCTCCTGAAAGTGCTGGGATTATAGGCGTCAGCCACCTCATCTGGCCTATTTCCATTTTATAGGTGAGGAGGCTAAGTCTCAGGAAGGTCAGCTTGCCAAAGTCACACTCACAGCTGGTGAGCTTGCTCAGCTCCACAGGCCATGCCTTTTCCATTAGGTCTCACCACCTCTTTTAAAATATAAGATACGTAACAGAAACACCAACCTTTCATTTCTTAGTTTCTGTGGCTAATTTATTTTCTTTCTTGTTACCTATATGTCAGGGCCTTAACTGTTCCTCAAGTATCTCCTGGGGAGGAAGAAAGCTGTCTCCGCTATCAGAGTGCAACATTAAAATTCCAGCTGGAAAACAGTTCAAGCCCGGAGGGTGGGAAGAAGTAATGTTGCCGATGGCCACAGGAGGGCGCCCTGGTCCCTCCATCCGTAGCCAGGGCACTAAGTGCAGTGCCATAGGCCAAGTGGTTGCTTCTGTTTCCCATGCCTTGAGGAGGATGGGCTCGCAGAAGAGAGAGGGCACAAGGCTTCGATTCTGACATCTGGATGGGGAGGAAGCAGAGAGATGGCGGAGGGGACAGGTAGAAGGGCCTGGGGTTAGAAAAGACACCTGCACTGCCGAGGAAGAGAGACTCCCAGGAGCACTTGGGGGCAAGAGCCACTAGCCCCTCCGAGTTTTTCCTTCCCAGGCTCGGCAAGGGAAGGGAAAGGCCCTGGAAGAGAAACCACTCGTCCTTCCTGCGCTACTCCCAGGACAGCCAAGAACTCCGATAGCCTAATGTAATGAGTGGAACAGTGTTGGGCTGGGAACATCCCTGACGCAGGAAACCACCAAGGGGAGCCCATGCCTTCCAGATGTCACGTGGCTTCTGTGTGTCTCACCATCTGGAACCCCGTGCTCCTGTTTATGGCAGTTTACCTCCATTTATAATTTAGTTCTCTCCATTTATTTATAATGAAACACCGTACGATTCACCCCTTGAAAGTACGGTTCCGTGCTTTTCGGCATATTCACAGAGTTGGCAGGCATCGCCCCTGTCTGATTGCGGGAGGCCCCTCTGTCTGCGATCTCACTAGCCTGCATGCTCCTGAGACAGGCCCAGCTGCACCACGGAGGCTTGGAAGCAGGTATCTGAGCATCTCCCTCTTGCGGCCAGACAGGAGAGGAGGGCGCTCCCTTACGGACTCAGAACTGGCTTGCAGCTCTCTGCCAGGGGCTGCTCTTGACTCAACATCAGTGGCCACTTCGGAGAGGGCTGTGGTGGAAGGGGCAGCCAGCGTGGGAGGGAGGGCGGGCGTGTCTGCGGGAGCAGAGCAGCCCTGTGTGCTCACTGTCAGGAGGAAGCAGCAGGCCGGTGGAGGGAGGCACACGAGGCAGGGGCCTTCCGAAGGACACGTGGCTGGATCCCAGCAGCACGTGTGAAAGGGACGGAGGGCTTTTCTTGATTGCTGGCAGCGAGAAAGGCTGCCAAAAGGCAACTACATCTCAGCTTGGTTAGCAACACCACCTGCGACTCGGCTCAGCCAGCAACCTGGGGGCATCCCAGAAGCGCTCCCTGGCCCGCCCCAAATGAAGTGGTCAATCACCAAGGCGCACTCTACCATCGCTGACATTTCTCCCGAATCCATCCACTTCACTCCCACCTTCCTACCTCCAGCTTTACTGCAACTACCCTTGCTTCCGTGGTCAGAAAGATCTTTAAAATGCAGATTTGTCCCTTTTGCCATTTTGTTTTAAACTCCTTGAGGGCTTCCCACAGCCCCCCCCATATCCTGGCCTGTGAGCGCCAGGTCTGCCCCTGTCCCCCCCACCCACTGTATTCCAGCCGCTCTGATCCTTCATCCTTCCGGGCTCTCCTTCCTCAGGCCCTCCGCCTGAGTGCTCCCTGGCTCCCACGCCTCTCTCCTCACCTATCTGCCATCTGCCCTCTACTGATTCTCCAGGGTGCAGCCTATGTAGCACCTCTCAGGGAAGTTAAAGAGGAAAGCGCCTTCCCACACCCAATAGGCCAAGCCTTCCTGCTATTGGCTTCTCCATTTCTCAGCAACCTCCTCACACTGTTCTGTGTGTCTGTGTCCCAGGACTATGAGATCCACCAAGTGACATCTCTGTCTTCCTGCCTGCTGCTTGACTCCAGGCCAACATGGTGCCTGGCACATAGTAGGTACTCAGTAAATATCTGCTGAATGAAGGAATGCATGACAAATGAGTGAGGCCGGAGTTTTTTCTTTTCCCCTGGCCAGGTGACACTGGACACTACTTTCACCTCTGCATAGTCCATTTAACAGGAATAAACTAGAATCATGGAGGAAAGGGTCCGAGTGGTGGAGTCTGAAAACCACGATACTGGACAAATGACTGCATTCGATCCTTTAGCTTGGAACAATCCTGGTGAGGAAGTGAGGGCTGAGACCCAGCTCTTGAAGGAATGCCTCCGAGGGAGATGTCACAGGACCTAGCATTTAGCTCCAGAAGACTTTTTCAAGCTGTCTGGCTGATCTGTGAAGAATTGAGCTGCTTGTTGCTGGAGGCTTTCAAGCGGAAGCTTGAAGGCTCATACTTCTCAAAGGGCTTCCTTTTTTTTTTTTCAGTTCGAGTCTCACTCTGTTGCCCAGACTGGAGTGCAGTGGCACGCTCCCACCCACCACAGCCTCAACCTGCTGGGTCCGGCGATCCTTCCTTTTCAGCCTTCCAAGTAGCTGGAACTACAGGCGCGCACTACCACGCCCGGCTAGTTTTGATTTATTGTAGAGACTAGGTCTCACCAAGTTGCCCAGGGGGGTCTCGAACCCATGGGCTCAGGCAGTCCTCTCGCCTCGGCCTCCCAAAGTGCTGGGAT